GGGCGATTTCCCATGGGATGAGCTGCACCTGTTGAAGCTTGATTCCCTTTTAATTTGCATTTCATTAATTATTCATGGTCCAGATTCAAACACCTGCTTACCAACCTCCACCCCCATCCCCAATACCCCACCCTGTGTTCGTCCTCTGAGCTTTCTGATTACATTGCTTCCTTCCATGCTCTTCAGTCATTTTCCTCAAGGTCCTTTCTGCTCTCAGTGGAGCAGAGAGTTTATCTTATTGATTCTGGATACTGATACTTTCCAGGTGATGTTAGATAATGCAGATAATGACCCTGAATAGCAACGCAAAGGGAGCAGCCATTGGTTCTTTTTCAGAAAAATCTCTCTCATTTCAGAGGCCTCCTGGTGTGGAATCCTGGTCAGAGTTCTTCTGAGGGCAGAGGACGGAGACAGTCTGTGCATGGTGGGTTATCCTTGCTTCGTTCTTTCAGTGATTCTCAACTTCACCTACTCTTAGGCTCATGTGGGGAGTGCTGGAAAGGTCCAGTGCTCAGGCATCTGAAAAGAAGATGGGATGAATCTTTGACTTCGGAAGTATACTCTAGATCTGAGAATGTACTTCAGCTTTACCGGGGTCTATTTGGCAAATGAAACTGTGCCTAGTTTTCGTGTGCACAGCCGGAAGCGGCTTCATGGGGACCATGGACAATTTTCAGCACACATTTGGCATTGCTGTGAGTCAACTGGGGACTCGTGGGTGCAAGCAATGCTCACCATGTCTTCAACGTGCCTGATTCACTTGGCAGAATTTGACTAGGTGCGTGTGTTGGTAGAGTGGGGCGGAGATTTCCCAGCTCTTGTGGATTTTTAAGAAGTCAAAGGTCCTCCCAAGGCCCTCTGTCCTCTAAATCAACTCAGTCTCGGAGAAACAGTCTTGTTAATGGTTTGGATTGCTAACAAAGTAAAGAAATGTTCAAGCCTTCGGAAAATCAGTTAAAAACAAACGCGGAATGAGAGTCAATAGATAGTACATCATCTTTTCAAGATTTTTATTGACTTCCAAACAAACTAAACACACATATTGACAATGGCATTCTATACCACTAATTTCACGGAGGAGAAAAGACCCAAGAATGCCTTCCGCAGATTTCATGCCTGGGTCCAAGGCACCCCTCTCAGGGCAGGGTGTGGCTGAAGAGAAGCACCTCTCAGGTTCCCTAACTTTTCCCATATTCAGTCATGTAGACAGCAGATACGGAGTAATTCCATGATTTCCAGTTGACATGAGAGTTGAAGACTGACTGGTGTTATGCCAGATACGGTAGAAGAAAAAATGCACAAGACCTGGATCATGGTGTCATGGTAGCTAGCTTGCAAAATAAATCTACCCTTTTTTTTTTTTTTTCTAAACTCTAGGCCTGACTCCACCTAGCTCTTTAAACAAATGAAGATTACATTAGGTCTGGCCTGATAATTTTGAATATATTAGGGGGAATACATAATAAATATTTGGAATTATATTGGGAGAAATATGACAGCTTTAAACATTTGCAATTACTGTTGTGGAAATATATTACAGGGAAGGACACCTCTTTCCATATCCAAATCGTTAAGATTGAAAACTATTGCCACCAATCCTACTACTCTAAGAATGAGCCTTCTTAGCCCCGTGGGACTTTGCCACATGGCTAAATCCGAAAAGTCTAGGAATGAACTTTCCTTGTGCTCTGGCACCTGCTGCTGTTCGTTGGCCTGCACATGCATTCTGTAGAATTACTTTGGTCAACGGTGGTGAAAGAGGGCTAAAGTCTGATTTTTTTTTTTATCTTGCCCAACTCCCTCCCTTACATGCCTGGGGAGTCAAGCTCTATAATTCATAAAGTCTTAACAGAGGCGTCTCATTTAGACAGATATATCATGGCCCACTTTCCATACTGGCTCTGGCACAACATCATGTAACAAATAAGGGTTTTTAAATTTTTATTTTTTGAGGCAGAGTTTTGCTCTTGTTGCCCAGGCTGGAGTGCAGTGGCGCAATCTCGGTTCACCGCACCCTTTGCCTCCCAGGTTCAAGCGATTCTCCTGCCTCAACCTCCTGAGTAGCCGGGATTACAGGCATGTCCCACCAAGCCCAGCTAATTTTTGTTTTTTTCAGTAGAGACCGGGTTTCTCCATGTTGGTCAGGCTGGCGTTGAACTCCCAACCTCAGGTGATCCACCCGCCTTGGCCTCCCAAATTGCTGGAATTACAGGTGTGAGCCACCTCGCCCGGCATTTTTTTTCTTTTTTTCCAGAGACAGGAGATAATCAAAGAGTTAGGCTCCCTTTTTAATCCAATAAGAAATATTTTATGACCTACTCCCTCGGAAGTCTACTATCTGAAGGCTTCCTCTGCACAGTAAAACTTGGCCTCCACAGCTTTTTATTTTAACCTAAACATTTCCTTTCAATTGATCCCGGTCTTTAGATAAACTCAACCAATTATTAACTGGAAAACTTTTAAATCTCCCTATAAGCTGGAAGTCCCTCTGCTTCAAGTTCTCCCACCTTTGTGGACCAAACCAAGGTATTTCTTCAATGCATTTAATTGAAGTCATGTCCCCCTAAAATGTACAAAACCAAGCTGCTCCCTGACTGCCTTGGTCACATGTTCTTAGGACCTCCTGAGGGCTGTGTCGCAGGACATGGTCAATCATATTTTTCTCAGAATAAATCTCTTCAAATATTTTGCAGAATTTAACTCTTTTCCTCAAAAAGGTCATGAGGATTAGGGTCACCAATGTGAAGGGAGCACCAATTTCTGGCCTCACAGTAATAAAGGAAGAGAAAACACGAAGGAGAAGGAGGAAGAGGAGGAGGAGGAGAAGGAGAAGGAAGAGGAAGAAGAGGAGGAAGTGAACCTGGAGCTTCTCCCTAAAGAAAAGAAAATGGAGGAGGAGGAGGAGGAGAAGGAAGAGGGGGAGGGGGATGGGAGGGGGAGGGGGGGATGGGACAG